TAGTATGTAGGGGGCCACCCAATTGATATCTTAGTTGTATGACTGTCAAAATGTAGTTTATTTAATTATAAATACATATTTTGTGGATAATAAAGACAGTGAATGAGAAGCAGTGAGAAGGTTCCAGGTAGTTGTGTTGGTTTTTTCTTGTGTGTAGTGTAGGATGGATATGGAATTTATGGATCATGGATCATGACAATTCCGTGAAGCAGAGGATCACTGAACCAGGGCCGAGCAGTCCCCACTCAAACCCTAAACCTAATACTTTGAACCCTCGTTTGACAAATAACAGAAAGCTAGGCTAACCTTGCTGCACCATTAGCATGGGAACAACAGCCCTAGTCACCAAGGGAAAGAGATAGCCATAAGGAAATAAAGCTAAAAGATTGCTAGTCTGCATCGAAGTTTATATAATAAAATTCTTGTTTGGAAAAAGAGAATGATCTCACCTTAATTAAATCTTATCACTCGTCACTCTAATCAGTATGGAACCAGTATGTTTCTTATGAGCGAAGAATATAATACAAATTAATTGTACATAGGATGACCTTGCATAACCTGATGTAATACAGATTATATTTCTATTTTTTCCAAAAAATCTTCAACCTATAAGATTATTAAGGATTATTAGATATTTATAGGCAAAATTTTAGTATTTGACTCCATCTTCAGCAGTAATACCAAAGACATCCTTCCAGCCCCCAACAGATGCAGAAATTAGTAGGGTGGGACAGGGGCTTAAGTCCTAACCCACCCAGGCTTCTGCCTATGTAATATTTACCATAGGCTTAAACCTGTAAATGTCCAAAGGAAGCCAAGTGACTGCAGAACAGCTCTTTATTGGACCACCTGATTGTGTTAACTATTTTATTTTATTTATTTTTGACTAAAAGATGTCCTTTTTACCTAAATGCCAGACTAACTTGGATTCCTAGTGATCTAAATCACATAGCAGATGGTTTAGCCAAATAGGGTGTATTTCTGGAAGAACTTTATAGTGATAGAATCCCTCCTCTGTAAACTTTGGGGTTCTACCCCTGCCATTCTTGCTTAAATGAAATTTGGGGATACCTGTACTGTTTAATAAGTTTTACACTTTCAATCCTTGCAATGCTGCTGATACCTCCCTTATTGAGTCATGTGCTTGTGGCCAGCTGGTCCTGAAAATAACTACTATGATGCCAAGTGCATCTCTAAACAGTCCACCTATTCCTGCAGGGATTACCAATACAGCGACCATCAAACTTGAGCTTTATAATATGATCCCTACTAGGATTACATTGGACTCAATCCCAGATTTCTTGCTGTTGAGAGGCCAGTCACCTATTACCAAGTATAGTAATATATTTTGGAGTTGCTGTTGCCATTCCCCTTTTGTTGGCTAGTGTGAGAAAACAGGTTTGAGTCTGACAGCGGCCATTTTGTGCAAAAAATGCCCAAGGTTAGGACTGAATCCAGTCTTCCCCTCCCAAGACCCAAGATAGTTGGACCAACACTGGGTAATGGCCTTTTTATTCTAAATATCATACATGTAACCTACAATACAGTAAATTATCTATTGAAACATTAAATTCAAGGTAAATGTATCATAACATAACAGTCTTCCCCAAGAGAGATATTCTCCTTTACATTTCAAAATTAATTGGAACTTAAGAATATATACTGCACCAAGAGAGATATTCTAGTTATAAACGAACTATACAGTTTAACTTTTTGGCCATATTAGTGTCTTACCTCAGACCAGCTACAGAAGTCCAAGCCATTACAGGTTTGTTCCCCTTTAGTTGGATTTGACTATCTGAACTGCAGTAATGAGAAGGCATTAACTTCTGAAAACTTTGAAAACCATGGTTCTATGAAGCATTACAAGTGTTCAGACTTCGTTGATGTTAAGACTGCAAAGGATACGAATTTGAATATGGTGCTTCCAAATGGCTTTAAAGATGCAGTGGTTCCCCAGCGAGAGGAAAACCAACTTGCAATGACATGACCCCCAAAGCAAGGGGAAATTCAGGGAGAATGGAATTGGATTTCTTACAAGTCAATCATCAATACTTATCTGACAAAGTTGAAGCTGGAAATGGTCCCGGTTTGCATTATGTACATGATACCGAGCCTAAGAGTGTTAAGGTGGCTGACAGACTCGGTGATAAAAAGATCCTTGGTGTTCCCATTTTTGAAAAGCCATGTGCTTCCAACAACCATTCTTCTTTTCAGTTGTCCCCTGCCAAGATTAACCATTACCCATCTAATCTGTTCAAATTCATTTTAATTTTGATTGGTTTCAACCCAAACCTTGATCTGTCCAAATTGATTTTGGACTGGACGGGGTCCAATCCAAAACCGGTCTATTGACACCCTTACATATAAGAATACTCTTTCCGGGGACTAACTTCTCTAATACTGACGAATCAGGAACCATGAACTCGAACCAAGCAAACCATTGAATGGATAAATACAGGTACTACTACTAAGTACCCTAGGTTCCCCTGATCTCAAACGAAGCATGGGCCAGGTGTCTCTTTGATAATTCCAAAGGTTGGGGCTAGGCTTACATAGAGTTGGTTGAAGATGGGCCCAAAATGGGAAAGTACTGTCCTATAGCATGCGTTGTCAAAAAAGTTTTGGCCCACAAAATTCTCAGGCTTCTGTCTTGGTTTCTGTTAATAAATTTTCTTTTGGCCCACTAAACTCCAAAGTTTGTCTTCGTATCTCATAATATATTTGTTATCAAAAGCTGTATTGTCTTGATCTAAAATACACGATACCAAACCATGAACATCAAAGGAGAGTTTCTCATGGTGATTGAATCCATATTGTTATCAAAAGCTGTATTTCTGTTAATAAATATTGAATAGACAGGTCTGCTTCCTCTACTGAAATGCTGTGTGATGCATTCTCAAAGGAGAGTTTCTCATGGTGATTGAATCCATATTGTTATCAAAAGCTGTATTTCTGTTAATAAATATTGAATAGACAGGTCTGCTTCGTCTACTGAAATGCTGTGTGATGCAATCCCAAAGGAGAGTTTCTCATGGTGATTGAACCATATTGGTCCATAAAACGTAAGTTTTGCATCTCGAATTAATCAATAACTATAATATGAAATGGCTTTTCCTTTTTTTTTTTAAATTTTGCATACAACTTAAATGGAAAGAAACTTTATTATTCTAGTTTAGCAGAATAAGAACTGTAATGTTATTTAAAATTATCACAGAAATAAATGTTTTTTTGTGTTATTTTCTCAAGTACTTTTCACTTGTATATTTCCAGCTATTTTTGTTTTCTATCTGCTTTTGAAATTTAACATAATCCACCATGGCAGCATGACCGATTTACTAATTTGTTTTCTAAATACAGAAGACTTTAGTTGTTTATAGTGCAATTTAATCTGCACCAATACAAATGCATGAGAGTGCAAATAAGAAAAACACAAATTCTGATCCATTTTTGCCTCAATTTTCACTTTGTTTTTTTTTAGGTTTTATTTTACTTCATTTGTGCTGCAAGTGAACAAGATAAGATGAAAGTTAAAAGAATAATAAATCAAAATTTGCACTCCCTTTCTTTTGCTCTAATGCAAATAAAATTGCACTACTACAGGCAAACTAGACCAAAAGGAAACATTGCTAAAACAAACAAAGAACCTGATAATATGTAACCTCAGTAGAGAACATTTATATTGTTTGTTATTTGTTAGTAGTTATGATGTAAACATCAAGGGTAGATATGTCCTTTCATGTAACTAGCATAACCTATATATATTAACTTAAAGTGGCGGCAACATTTTATTGACATTCTGTTCTTCTCCTAAAAATCTGTGTTCTATTGCTCTTTCACCACTCTTTCTTCTACTTCTTCTTAGGATTTGCTTCTCAATAAGAGGGTAGTACATTTTCCTCTCTCTCTCTCCCTCCCCCCAGGTCCAAATATTGCTTGGTAGGGTGCAAGCCATGTGAGGTTTAGAATTCTATGAATCTATGCTTCTCATTCACTATTTGTGGC